CTACTCAGGAGGCTGAGGCAGGATAATCGCTTGAACCCAGGACACAGAGGTTGCAGTGAGCCGAGACTGCACCACTGCACTCCAGCCTGGGCAACAGAGCGAGACTCAAAAAAAGGGAAAAAAAAAAAGAAAAAGTATAGACAACGAGATTTCCTTTAGAATCAGATGTGAAATGTGAAATGTGAAATGTGAGGGAAGAAAGAGAAGACAAGATTTTTGGTTTAAACAACTGGAAGAATAAAGTTGTCATTTATTGAACTAAGGAAAACGCAAAAGAAGCAAATTCGGATTAAACAAGATGAAAAGTACAGATATAGTTATCAAGCACCTAGTAAACAGTTGGATATGTGAATCTGGAATTCAGGAGAAAGGTTCTGGTTGGAGATATAAATTTGAGTCATCAGCACAGCTCCTATTGAAGAAATGAAGACCATCAAGGGAATCCCAAACTAGGCTTAGGATATTCCAATATTTAGAGGACAGAAAAGGAAACAGCAAAGGAAACTGAGAAAAGAGTCAGAGAAATAGGAAGAAAAAGCAGGCAAATATGTTTGCTAGGAGCCAAATAAAGTAAGTGTTTTAATGGAGAAGAGTCAACAACTGTATGAAATGCTGCTAAAAGATCAAGTAAAATGAATTCACTGACGTCACGAGACCTTAAAAAAAAAACGGCTCCAATGGAAATCAATATCTGATTGGAATTGGTTCAGAAAAAAAACAGAACAAACTAAAAACAATGAATACAGGCAAGGAGTTTTGTGATAACAGAATTCTTTTTCAAGGAGTTTTGGTATGAAGGAAATGAGACATTACAATTGGCTCAAGCTAGGACAAACAATATATCCATAGTATATAATAAAGGACAGATAGGCATAGATGCTAGGTTTACAGATGCAATGGTAACAACTTTTAAAGATTCTTTTCTGATTGTGTCTATTTTCTCAGGGCGATAGGGAGCAAAGTGAGAGGGAGAAGATATGAGACATGCAATGACAGAGTAAAACTATGAAATCAGTCATTTAGGACAATGTAACAGAAAAGACTGGGTCGCTAAGGACAAGATCACGAGTTTCAAGCAAGCCTAGGTCAGCATGCTTATGTGATGGGTTAACATTTTCACTTACAAAACAAATAAACCTGCTCTATAGTCTTTTATTTAACCAAATGTTCTATCTGAAGTTTTTCTTCACCACCAAAGAACTTAGTCATATAACCAAAACTTTCCACCTGTAACCCAAAACTACTGAAATAAAAATTTTAAAGAAAAAAGACCTGTGCAAACAGGACACAGGAAAAAAAGAATTTAAGTTTTTCTTAAGTGACAGTTTCATTATCCCAAACAGATCATCTGATCTACATTTGAATATGGATGGCAACAGCAATATTTTTCCATGAAATAAACACCAGCACAGAAATGTATGGCTCATGGAGTATGTCCCCTCTCCAGGGTACATTCAGGATTTCTCTTCCTCACTGCCTGATATCCTTTCACACAGGGTCTAAATTGTACCCCTTTTGGCCTTTATGCTGTTCTATTACGGATTTTGCATTACTTACATACTCCTAAGGCCTGTTCTCTTCTATTTGGTTCTAGTTAACCACTATAAATTTTCAGGATCTGTCTTGTTTTGCACGATATACTACCATTTCCAATTTCTAGTCATTTGTCAACGCCCTAAAGTTTCATTCAGAAACTTCTCTTGTGCTAACAGAACGTCCACTTGAAATCTTTTATATGACACACTCCTATAGTACTAGTGAATGAAACCAAGAAAGCAAAATAATCAAATCCTACTGACAGTCAAGTCTTTTGCTATTATTGCACCTAAGCTATTCCTGAAAAAATAATTTAATGAGATCATCTTATAAGGAACATTTATTTGGTAAACTATCTCACAGAAATAGACTCTAAAATCAAACAATGTCTTAAACAATAGAGAGCATAATCCCAATCTCTCCCCATGAAAAGCCTACTTCATAACTGAAGTACCCATGAACTGCATTACTAGAAGAAAGGAGGGAAAAAGACATTTACTAAACTTCCACAGGAAGACTGTATAAATCTGGAAGTAGTTAAGTACACATCGGCCTGTATCCAAGAATACTACTCAGTCTCAAAAATTAACTGAAAATCTAAACTTAATATGGGTACTTCTTTGTTCTTGGTAAGGCTCAGAAAATTACCATCTATTTAAGTACGCATAGTACTAGTTACATGTCAACTGATATAATAAAAAAGGTGAAGTGGACAATCAGTATTTCAAACCCAATACAGGGAAATCACTAGACGTAAACATAAAATCTATTTTTGAGCTCCAGTTTAAAACAAACATTCAGGACTGGAATCTTCAGAATTTTCTAGTATCTTGAATATCCCCATCTTCTCTTTAATTGGTCCTGAAGCATTCATTTGATCTAAGGGAAAAATATTAAAACAGGTACATTTTAGAAGTATAAGAAGAAGAAATCGTAAAAGAAACATCCAATATAATGTTATCAGAAGTGAGTCATCTATCCAAAATTATAAAACTCACAGTAATATAGGGTACTCTCTTCCTTAATCACCAAGATTTAATAGCAGTGAAAGCAAAAAGGTACCCTATTCTTAATACAACAACTAGAATCAGCCTCTTGGGAGCATACAATCTAAAGCATCAGTTTGCAAGTCAAAATCTCTTTTGCTGAATTTAAGGTAAGATAAAAAAGTTAAAGAGCAATAAACAACATCTATTTGAATCATGCTTTCAGAAATGTTTTAAACAGAGGCCCATTTATGGTTCATCTAAAAGCTGAAAACACAGTATGAAAAGCTTACCTTGAGAAACATTTTGAATCAATGACAATATGAAGTCTCCTAAATTTTTATCAACATGACAGCTGTGAAATGAAATCTCTGATTTTAATTTGTATTACTGATTTCTAATCATCCTTGTATGTTCATTAGACATTTCTTTCTCTCGGTAACAGCCTGCTCTTATATTATCCATTTTTATTATCAACTTGTATTTACTTGCATATCCTAAACACTTCTTGTTATATGTTGCAAATATTATTTGTGGTTTCTCTCTTATCTCTTTATGGTGGCATCTGTTTTATAGTAGTCCTTCCTATTAATGTAATTAAAATCTATGAAACCTATCATATAATTTGTGATTTCTGTATTATAAAGAATTATTTTCTAATTCTAAAATCATAAATATATTTTCCTATTTTTTTGGTTAAATTCTACCTTTAATATTTAGGTTTTGAACACATGGATTGCTCAATCTGAAGTCTGTAAATGTATTGTGAGGTGAGGAGAATCTAAGTTAATTTTTCCCCTATTAATTACTATTTCCCCAGATCATCTATTGATTAATTGGAATTTCCTATCAGTGGTATGAAATTCCATTTGACATTTACTAGCTTTTCACGAAAGCTGCCCTTCTAGATTCACCATATTGTACTTCTAGCCAATGTATCACACCATGTGCTAATTCTACCATCTGATTATTATGACTATTTAATTTTTAATAAGACTTTATACCCGGTATAGAATACCTTGTTTTTCAAAACTGTCTTGGTTCTGGCCCTTTACTACTCTTTCATATAAATTTTAACAGTCTGTCTTACAAAAAGTCATTCTGGGATTTTTTTTTTTTTTTTTTTTTAAAGAGACAGAGTCTCGCTCTGTCACCCAGGCTGGAGTGCAGTGGCACAATCTCCGTTCACTGCAACCTCCACCTCCCAGGTTCTAGCAATTCTCCTGCCTCAGCCTTCTGAGTAGCTGGGATTACAGGCACATGCCTCCATGCCCGGCTAATTTTTTCTATTTTAGTAGAGACAGGGCTTCACCGTGTTGCCCAGGCTGGTCTCGAACTCCTGAGCTCAGGCCATCCACCTGCCTCAGCCTCCCAAAGTGCTAGGATTATAGGCGTGAGCCACCGCACCCGGTCGTCATTCTAGGATTTTAATTAGAAGAAAAATTCAAGAATATAAGTTAGTTTTGGGGAACACTGACTTATACTTTGTAGTAACCATTCATATCCACAAATACAGCTAAATCTGTATGTTTACTCGGTCTTTCTATTAATGTCTTTCAATGTTGCATAATTCTGTCCTTACATAAACGTGTCAAAAACTGTTAAACTTTAATTGTAGGCATGGTAGTTTTGTAGCTGTTGTAAAAACCATCATTATTAAACAATTACTGCTGTTACACATATTATTAATAAGCAATCTTCTTAAATTCTGTTTTAAAAAATTCTAGATTCCCTTGGACTTCCAATGAAGATAATCAAACCAGAAAACTTGCAAATAAAAGCGCGATAATGCCAGCACTTTAGGAGGCCGAGGGAGACAGATCACTTGAGCCCAGGAGTGTGAGACCATCTTGAGCAACATGGCAAACCCGTCTCTACAAAATACACAAAACAGAATTAGCAGGGTGTAGCAATCACACCTGCAATACCATTAACTCCGAAGGCTGAGGTGTAGGGATTGACTGCCCCCAGCAGGTTAAAGTTGCAGTAAGCCATGATCACACCACTGAACTCCAGCCTCCATGGCAGAACGAGACCTTGTCTCAAACCAAAAAAATTATGAAGATGATTATGATGTTATGGCAAGTTGGGTTTTGGTATCTAATTAGGTGATCATCTAGTTCTCCATTATTTAATTAATATGGATTGTATTAATATTATCAGATGTTAAACAGCCCTTACATACCTCATACGTTGTTTTTTAATATATTTAAGATTTGACCATACTGTTGTATTTCTCATATTTCTCCCTAAACCATTTCAAAGTTAAAATTCAAATAAACATGCAAATAATCCAGAATATCTAAAATAATCTTGAAAAAGAACAAAACCAGAGAAAGTACACTTCCCATAAAGCTACCTTAATTAAATCAGTGCAATACCGGCATAGGAATACCACAGTGCTCAATGGAACAGAATTGAGAATACAGAAGTAAAACCTTGTATTTATGATCAAATGATTTTCATCAAGGATGACAAGGCAATCCAACAAAAAAAGGAACAACTTCTAACAAATGGATATTGACATGCAAAAAGATGAAAATTCACTGAAAATAGATCATAGACCTAAATGTAAGAGCAAAAACTATAAAACTGTTAAAAGAAAATATCAACACCTTGAATTAAGAAAAGAGTAATTAGACAAGACACAAAAATCATGAGTGACAGAAAAAATTCGTTAAAACTGGAATTCATCAAAATATAAAAATTTTGCTCTTCAGAAGATACCAAAGCAAGAAAGTGAAGAGAAAGGCCACAGAGAATAAGAAAATGTTTTGTTTTCAAAATAATCCATGGTCATCACTGTAGGTGTCAGATCATAAGGTAGTATTCTAAAAACTGATGAAAAAAAGAAGCAATATATCCTGCCCCTCTTCTATCTCAGGAAAACTGTAAGGGAAAGTTCTTAAATAACCCAGCTAATAAAAGAATAACAGAACAAGAAAATCATCACTTTGTAATGATTTAGTTAATAATGGTTCTAATCAACCATTTTTAAAGGATACTAAAAATCATGTTAGGCTAGGCGCAGTGGCTCACGCCTGTAATCCCAGTGCTTTGGGAGGTTGAGGTGGGCAGATCACCTGAGGTCAGGAGTTCAAGACCAGCCTGGTCAACATGGCGAAACCCTGTCTCTACTAAAAATACAAAAATTAGCCAGGCGTGCTGGTAGGCGACTGTAATACTAGCTACTGGGTAGGCTGAGGCAGGAGAATTGCTAGAACCCAGGAGGCTGAGGTTGCAGTGAGCTGAGATTGTGTCAGTGCACTCCAGCCTGGGCGACAGAGTGAGACTCCGTCTCCAAAAATAAACTGAACTGAACTAAACTAAACTAAACTAAACCATCATATTAAATAAAGGATGAAGGCTGACAAGACATTTTGTAATATTATCTTGATTAATCTTAGCTCACTGGAAATAAGAAACCCAGACATGATGTGCCTCCTGGTATGATGAAAAATACGAAAACAAAGCACTGGTATTCTTAACTAAGACAGGAACTTGAATATATTTACAAAAGTGTTATTTACCAGTTTACAGAAAATATCTGAATTACGGAAAAAGTTAAAGACAATGACATTTATGGGCAAAATGTCATTATGTCTGAGATTTGATTTTAATACTCTGAGAAGCAAAATGACAATAAAACAAGATTAGATATGTGTGGCTGAATGAATTATAAAAGGGGTTCATTATATTATGCTAATTATGTATATGTTTTGAAGCTTCCATTAAGAAAAAGCATGATACTTACCAATAAGATCACTTCGATCTAACAACAACTCTAGATCTTTATCACTAATGACCTTCTCTCTTGATCCTTTTATTTCCCTATAGAAAACAAAGTATTCAAGTATATGTGAATAATTCAAAGCTACAAATTAAATCTTTCTAAAATTAAAAACTCACCTTTCATAATCTCTAGATTTTAATAATTCCATTAATTCCTTAGGATCTAAGAAATTCTTAGACAGATTTAATCCAGACTGACCACCTTTGAAATGATCTAAAAAAAATGAGAAATTAAAAATATTAAAATTCCTTTTAAAACTACAACACAACATATTACAAACCAATCACAATGGCTTGCATTAAGAAGGATGGCAAAAAACAAGTGTTGATAAAGAATAAAAGCAAATAAAACTCTCAGGCTTTGCTGGTAGGAGTGGAAAATGGTACGTCCACTTTGGAAAAGGTTGGTAGTTTCCAGTAGTTAAACACGCACCCTCCCTAAGATGAAGGACCAAAAAATGCATATGTCCACAAAGACTTGTACAGGACCAGCTTATTCATAATAACCAGAATCTAGAAATAATTTAAATGTCAACCAACAAGGGAATGGAAAAAACTAACTATTCACCAATTTAAAAAAAAATTCTACTAAAAACAACACAGATGACTCTGAAAAAATATATTCGATGAAACAGCTAAACAAAGAAAAGACTCAACAATGTGAAAAAAATCAGAATACTGGTTGCTTCCTAGTGATGTTAAGCGGAGCATAGGAATTACAGGAAAGGGTGAACAAAGAAAATTTCTTGGATGATGAAAATGCTACCCTGATCTGGATGATAGTTACGTATGAGTACATACATCTGGTCTAACTTCATTAACCTGTACATTTAATATCTGTGCATTTTGCTTTATATATGTAATAACTCAACTGAAAAATGTCAGCATTAAAAAAATCCCTTCAAAATTTTCTACAAAATTAATCTACTAAAAAACTGACAATAAGGCTGAGCACAGTGGCTCACATCTATAACCCCAACACTTGGAGAGGCTGAGGCAGGATGATCACTTGAGTCCAGGTGTTCAAGAACAACCTGGGTAAAAAAATTAAACGGTGTCTTAAACGGACCTCGTGATCCACCCACCTCGGCATCCCAAAGTGCTGGGATTATAGGTGTGAGACACAGCACCCAGCCCAGGCTGTAACATTTCATAAAGAAAATAAAAACAATTACAAAAATCCACAACACATAATGTACAATTTAAACAATAAAGCACTACGTAAGTGTTATTTACTTTTATGGATGATCAGCTTTTCCAGTTTCCTTTTAGCAGCTGCTCTTTCCACAATTTTCTGATCAACAGTATTTGCTGTAACCAGGCGATAAACAACAACTGGCTTTGTCTGACCAATTCTATGGCATCTATCCTGGGCCTGAAGATCCGACTGGGGGTTCTTAAAGTTAAAAAGAAAAATAACATTTAACGGTATTAGCTTAAAATTAACGTAAACTCATGTGGATAAACTCAACATGAATAATGTAGTCACGAACTTTTAAATAGTGGTGTCTTAATTTAAACTTCCAGAGTGGCTTCATAGATAAAATTATCATTCCACGGATCCTTGGCAATATTAACAAAAAAGTTTAAATACCCCAAAGAAAACATTTCAGGCTGGGCACAATGACTCACTTCTGTAATCTCAGCATTTTGGGAGGCCAAGGCAGGAGAATCATGTGAGGATAAAAGCTCAAGACCAGCCTGGGCAAAACAGTGAGGCGTGGTCTCACTAATTTTTACATTTTTTGTGGGCATGGTAGCACATACTCATAAACCCAGCTACTCAAGAGGATGATGTGGGAGGATCACTTGAACCCAAAAGGTCAAGGCTACTGAGCCGTGATGGTGTCACTGCACTGAAGCCTGGGTGATAAAAGTGAGATCCTGTCTCTAAAAACAAAAGTAAAAAAAAAAATTCAATTTTTACATGCAGAAAACTTTATGAAGAAATAACTCTTAGCTGAAAATGGGTATCTTTTCAAAATAGATAAGTAAATTTGTAACATGTACAATTAAAAATTAAAAATTCAGAATGGCTGGGCGTGGTGGCTCATGCTGGTAATGCTGGTAATCCCAGCACTTTGGGAGGCTGAGGAGGGTGGATCACCTGACGTCAGTTCGGGACCGCCTGGCCAACACGGTGAAACCCCATCTCTAATACAAAAATTAGCTGGGCATGGTGGCAGGAACTTGTTATCCCAACTACTTGGGAGGCTGAGGCAGGAGAATCACTTGAACCCAGGAGGCGCAGGCAGTGAGCCGAGTCTGCGCCATTGCACTCTAGCCTGGACAAGAAGAACGAAATTCCATCTCAAAAAACTTTTAAAAATTCAGAATGCAGGCTGGGCGTGATGGCTCAAGCCTATAAGGCCAGCACTTTGGGAGGCCGAGGTGGGCGGATCACCTGAGATAAGGACTCGAGACAAGTCTGGCCAACATGGCGAAACTCTGTCTCTACTAAAAACACAAAAAGTAGCCAGGCATGGGGGTGTACACCTGTAGTCCCAGCTACTTGGGAGGCTGAGGAAAGAGAATCACTTGAACCCGGGAGGTGAAGGTCGCAGTGAGCCGAGATCATGCCACTGTACTCCAGCCTGGGCGACAGAGTGAGACTCCATTTCAAAAAAAAAAAAAATCTAAATGAAAATAAAATCAGCATATTCCTTTCGGTACATCCAACTTACCCAATCACTATCATAAATGATAACTGTATCTGCTGCAGTCAGATTAATGCCCAGGCCACCAGCTCGTGTACTCACTAAGAAGATAAATACCTCTGGATCCATGTTGAAGCTGTGCATCTAAAAGCAAAAAGGATGTAAATACAACAGATCTACCAATCTACCAACAAGACTGAAGGAGAAAAATGTTTTGTTACAACTATTAAAGAGTTAAAGGAGGCCAAACAAATCATTCAGATCTATAAAACAATTATGTTAACAAAATCTGTGCTGTTACCTTTTATCATCCAAGCACCTATATTAAAGAGACCTTAATTTTGTTAAAAACCATGTATCACAACAATGTTTAAGAAAAGCTAGTATCAAAAAATGATGAAAAAATTGTAGTTGTTGTCTTTACACATGGGGTGACTGGGAGGGTGAACTGACTAGAAGGGGGCACAGGAAACTTTCTGGGCTCATGGTAACATCTATATCTTAATAGGGATTAGGTATAAATTTACATACGCCATTTGTCAGAAAGATTCAGCAAATGTATACATTATTTGCTTCAGTATATGTAAATTTTACCCCAAAAGATAAAATATGCTGAAGTCATTACGGAAAAGGGTAGTATCATCTATAATTTATTTTAAAATGCACCAAAAAAAACAGGATTAAATGTTGAATGGATACAGCAACGCTGCTATTACAGGAAACGTGTTTTTAAAAAGGTATAGTCAAATGTTAGCAGCACATTGTAGGCGGATGTACAGTTGCTTTTTTTCTTTTCAACTTTGCCATACAGTTGATATTTTCAAAAGAGAAAGTTAAGAACAGGGCAAAAAGACAAAAAATTTCCTACTATCCCAATATTCTTACAGTGATGGCTAAGTAGGATATTATTAAGATTGTGCCAGAAGATATATACACTTGAATCAAAAATTAAGACTTCTTAGTACTAAATCAAAATGTTTGTTTTTGATAAAACCACAGGGTTTCTGGTCATTTGTATCTTTTTATCAATTTGTGGGTCTATTTAGAATATTACTTCAGAAATCAAGATAGGAATTATAAAAGAATCGTTTGGGATATATGACATAAGTAGTCTTACATTTTTTTCTCTCTCTGAGTAAGACATGGACCCATCAAGCCTGCTGAAGTTGAAATCTCTGAGATGGCAGTAATCCATCAAAATGTCCAACATGCTTGTCATTTGTGAAAAAAGCAGCACCTGAAATAAAACATCTTAATATTTATAACAATTAATAAAAAAATAATTGAACAATCCAAAATTCCAATCAAAAGTATCACCTTGTGACCTCTTTTTTTTAGTTCTGGTAGCATTCGATCCAAAATTAAGAATTTCCCAGAATTTGTTACCAATTCTTCATCGATCTTAAAAATGGGCAAAGAGAGAAAAAATTGAGAGAAAAATGTCATTTGCTTTGTTAAAACAAAAGCCATTTGGAAAGTTCAATTTTCAATGCCAAGTCACTTAAAAAACTTAAAAACTGACCTGTTACTCAATCTTTGTAAATCAGAAGATAGTTATTACTCAAAGACGTACTCTAGAACGTAAAACCAGCAACTTCACAAAAACAAAATAAAATACAAATATAACTTTGATCTAACCTCAACACTCCTCCCTCCAAGACGTTGTGAAAGAGAACAATTATGTCAAACTTAATGGGTACATACTCAGGCTTATTCTTTATAATTGAATTATTTCCAACTAAATGTATAGGTAAACTACTGCTAGAATTCTTACCAGAAATTAGAGAAAATACAGGAGCTGATAAGTAATCCAAATACTGTGGATAAAGACTCTTTCACCTTCTGGTGAAATGACTTCATGAGAGAGCTACTTCCATCTGAGTGGGAAAGTTTTGTCTTCTTTCTTACTCTAATAAAGATGTAAAGCAGTGCACCTCTCAAATGGGGACAATTTTGCCCTCCACCTATCTCCAGGGTATATTTGGTGGTGGCAGCAAACTTTTTAGTTGTCATAACTGAGGAAAGTGAATATTATTGGCATCTAACGGGTAGAAGACAGGGATGCTGCTAAATGTCCTAAGTGCACAGAACATTACCTCCTAAGAAAGAATTATCTGGCCCAAAATGTCAATATTGCCAGAAGTGGAAAAGTCTATTGTAAACTACTTCAAAACAAGGGTTATTGAGGGTTACTAAGAATTTATTTCTATTAATATTATGCTATCTTTCTATCAACTACCGAAGAAAGCAACTTCATTTATTTAATGTGAAAACCTCCAAATAAAAATTAGTTTTATTCTATGGCTATCTGTTGATCTTTAAGTAATGAGCAACCAGGCTGATTTTGATAAGCCACATATTAATAATAAATGAAACAGTGAAAAGATGACCACTCTCTCTAAAATATAGCAAGTAAATATGCAGAGTACAAATCAATTACTAAATTTAGAATTATTAGCTGTTCACATAAAACATGTAAATAAAAATATTAGTTGCATAGAGGCCAGGCATGGTGGTTCTTGCCTGTAATCCTAGCACTCTGGGAGGCTGAGGCAGGATTGCCTGAGAAATCAGGAGTTTGAGACCAGACTGAGAAACACAGCAAGACCCTGTCTCTATAAAAAATAAAAAAATAAAAAAAACTAGTTGCTCATAGAAAGTGACCATTTCTCTAACCCTGCAAAGGTTCTCTGAAATTTCGGAGAGAAGATTGTCTTAGCTTACTGAAGGATTACAATCTTAATGACAAATAGCACCATACTTATTTTTAATAATTATAATCAAAACAAAGTAACATCTTCCACCAATATAAAAGTAATATAAATCAAAACAGTGAATTACAATTAAATAGTATTCACCTTAAACTCTTGTGTAACAGGGTCTATAGGATACTCAATCAAATATGGATGATTGCAACATTTACGAAGTAGCATCATTATATTCTGCAGCTTCAGATTAACTTCAGATTCTACAGGGATATTCACTTCCACAACAGTTCTACCAAAACAAATAATGCATACACATGAGAAACACAAAAAATGGTCCCAGTTTAAAGAATACTTAAATTCATTTTCAAATTCAAACCTTTCTCGGTCCACCTCTGGCTGTATCTGACTGATCAATTTTTCCAATTCATTAGGGAAATCATCTATTTTGCTGTAATTTATTGATTTTCTAGTTCGTCGTTTTGGTCGACCAGTAGGGCTTAACTCAACTGTTTCTTTCTAAAAGGGAATGAATTAAAGGAAAGCCTGTTTACAAAGCTATATCCTTAGGTTCTAAATGTAAACAAAATAAGGCATACTTTATGTACACAATGACAATCTATAGACAAATACAAATGTTGTAGGAAATTAGTTTAATTTTAACATGGACGACAATATCTGAAAGTAAGAGGAAGGGCCTTCGTATCTCAATAGGGAAAAATGAAGGGCGAATAAAACTACTTTGAACTTACACAAAAGGATTCAATACCTTAAAGATGAAATACGGCTCCAGAAATTTGCACTACAGAGGATATTTCTTCAGACTGGTTAACACTGCATGAAATTGCTCATTAACAGACAAATAATGTAAATTTGTAAATAGCTAGATCTTTCCTTTAATTATAATTAATTATTAAAAAGAGAGAAGAGGCTGGGCTCACGCCTGTAATCCCAGCACTTTGGGAGGCCAACGCGGGTGAATCACCTGGGTCAGGAGATCGAGACCATCCTGGCTAACATGGTGAAATCCCATCTCTACTAAAAAAACAGAAAAACATAGCCAGCCATGGTGGCGGGTGCCTGTAGTCCCAGCTACTTGGGAGGCTGAGGCAAGAGAATGGCGTGAACCCAGGAGGCGGAGCTTGCAGTGAGCCAAGATCATGTCACTACACTCCAGCCTGGGCAACAGAGCAAGACTCTGTCTCAAAGAAAAAAAAAAAAGAGGGAGAAGAGAGTCTGGTGGTTCTATTGTTTAAAAATGCATGACAATAAATATTTTGAAAAGAAAATCTATAGGTCCATAGTGGACAATAAAAAATCTGGACAGTTAAACAAACTTAAGGGTCTCCTTGAGTTAAATGATAATAACACCCTACCTCTGTCTCCTATAATATGGTGGGTGATAATAATCATCAAAGTGATTATTAATCCTTTTGGTTCTCAATAACCTTCAGCAAGGAAACTGTACAGGTTGAACATCCCTAACGGGAAAACAGAAATGCTCCAGTAAGCATTTCCTTTGAGTGTCGTATCAGCACTCACAAAGTTTCAAATTTTGGAGCAAATATACAGATTTTGGATGCTGTATATTTGGAGATTAGTCTAGTTGCCAAGTCCTTAGTACAGGGATTCTCAAATAACTGTGTGCTTGTTAAAAATGAATTTCCAAGCTCAACCCCAGAAAGCGTTTAGAGTTAATCTGCACAGAAATCTAAATTTTTATTTTATTTTATTTATTTTTTTTGAGACGGATTTTCGCTCTTCTTGCCCAGGCTGGAGTACAATGGCGCAATCTCGGTTCACCGCAACCTCCACCTCCAACCTCCACCTCCCAGGTTCAAGCGATTGTCCTGCCTCTGCCTTCCTGAGTAGCTGGGATTACAGCTATGTGCCACCACGCCCAGCTAATTTTGTGTTTTTAGCAGAGACAGGGTTTCTCCATGTTGGTCAGGCTGGTCTCAAACTCCCAACCTCAGGTGATCTGCCCGCATCGGCCTCCCAAAGTGCTGGGATTACAGGCATGAGGAGCCACTGTGCCAGGCCTAAATTTTTAATAAGTATTCCAGATGACTGCAAAGTAATTAATACAAGGATTATCACTTACATTTTAGCAGGACTGCAGATACTAGGAAACAACTTTTGCCACTTGGCCTTATGCCTTATACCCCAGATACAAATTCACCCACGTCCTGAAAATAAACAAGGGGCCATTAAAACTGGAATTTAGGCCAGGCGCAATTGCTAACACCAGTAACCCCAGCACTCTGGGAGGCCAAGGTGGGCGGACTGCTTAAGCCCAGGAGTCTGAGACCAACCTGGGAAACATGGCAAAAAGCCAGTTTCTACAAAAAAATTAGCCAGGTAGGTAAAGGCTGCAGTGAGCAGCGATTGTGCCACTGCACTCCAGCCTGGGTGACAAAGCAACATCTTGTCTCAAAAAAAAAAGGGGAAAAAAGAGAAATTTTATGTCAAGTTTCCTTTACAATACATTTCAAAACCACTATACCTCACTGGATCCAAACATGTTTGCAATTGTACGGTTCACAATGGCTGTATAAAAGATCTCCTGCTTCTTTGAAAGTGGAGCATAAACAACTACTTCTCGTTTAGGAGGAACTTCAAGAGCAACATCAGACTTCAGTCTTCTCAATAAGAAAGGTGTTAAAATCTAAAATTAAAACATGAACAGAAAAATATGAGTATTAAACATTCTTATTTTTTCAAGGAATACTGTCCCCATATACTCCTTTACCTTATCTTTTGACTTCCTATATAAGTAATATCAAATCTCAAAAGGTGAAAATATCTTCTTGAGATTTTCCCAGACCAGACCAAATGGTAAACTCACAGTATTTGTCAGCAGCATTTCAGAATTTACTTTTCTCTTAAAAACTGTTAAGAATCTATCTCAAATAATTTTAAAAGTAAAAATATAAAGGTAGCATTTGTATTTCTTAGGGTTAAAGTTTCAGTTATAGCCTACAACTTTTAAAATTAGATTTTATCAGCACCATACAAAAGGGGAAACAATAAAAATGAATAAAAACTTTAAAAAATTTTTTTAAATAATGAGTACAAAAAATAGAAATAATAAGACCTAGTATTTCGTAGCACAAAAGGGTGACTACAGTCAACAGTAATTTAACTGTTACATTTTAAAATATAAGGAAGAGTATAACTGGAGGCCAGGTGCAGTGACTTACGCTTGTAATCCCAGCACTTTGGGAGGCTGAGGCAGGAGAATCACCTGGGTCAGGAGTTTGAGATCAGCCTGGTGAACATGGTAAAACCCCATCTCCACTAAAAATACAAAAATTAGCTGGGCTTGCTGGTGGGTGCCTATAATCCCAGCTACTCAAGACGCTGAGGCAGGAGAATTGTTTGAACCCAGGAGGCAGAGGTTGCAGTGAGCCAGAGAATGTGCCACTGCACTCCAGCCTGGGTGACAGAGCAAGACTCTGTCTCCACAAAAAAAAAAAAAAAAAAAAAGATATATAGCTGGATCATGTGTAACTGGATCACTAATCCAGGATAATTAAAATTAAAATTAAAAAAGGATAATAAATGCTTGAGGGGATGGATACCCCATTCTCCATGATATGATTATCATGCATTACATTTCTGTATCAATATGAAAACATATAGCTCATAAATATATACACCTACCATGTACCCAAAAAATTAAAAGCTTTAAAAAAAACTTAAATTTTTTAATAGAATGAGGTTTTAGACTCAGTAAAAAGCCAGCTGACCTAGTGATGCAGACATACAAGTTTCTTCTGTAAGTTCTAAAGTTTCAGGTTTAAAATTATTCTTTCATCAGCTGAGGTGGTTACAAATGATTATCACATTTATAAAAAGAACACAGAAGCAACAGACGATTATGCCATTATTAAAATATTTGGGTCATTAAAAGAGAACAAACACTTGTTTGAAATCATTGTATACTCTAGGTCAGTCGCGGTAGCTCACACCTGTAATCCCAGCAGTTTAGGAGGCAGAGGTGGGCAGATCACCTGAGGTCAGAAGTTTGAGACTAGCCTGGCCAACATGGTGAAATCCGGTCTCTACTAAAAAAAATACAAAAACTTTAGTCAGGTGTGGTGGGGGGATTACAGAATCCCAGCTACTCGGAGGCTGAGGCAGGAGAATGGCTTGAACTTGGGAGATGGAGGTTGCAGTGAACCAAGATCGTGGCACTGCACTCTAGCCTGGGCGACAGAGACTTCGACTCAAAAAAAGTAATAATAATAAAAAATAAAAAATTGTATACTCTTTATACTCCTACCTTTAAATACTAACAATGGTTTACATATAGTAATCATATATAATAAAGCTCATTTTCAGGACTCTGGATTTAAATACCCAACAGGTATAGGGCTAATCATAGACTGTTACCAGAGATAGTAAACACATCACCAGTGTTGGTAACTACAGATACTAATCCAAAAACAAATATGTCCACAGGCAAATCAGGAAAAATATGTAAATGTTTTATAAATATGCCCACAAACATGTCCAGCCAGGCGCAGTGGCTCACGCCTGTAATCCCAGCACTTTGGGAGGCCTAGGCGGACGGATCACGAGGTCAGGAGATGGAGACCATCCTGGCTAACACGGTGAAACCCCGTCTCCTACTAAAAAATAGAAAAAATTAACCAGGCGTAGTGGCGGGCGCCTGTAGTCCCAGCTACTTGGGAGGCTGAGGCAGGAGAACGGCGTGAACTCGGGAGGCGGAGCTTGCAGTGAGCTGAGATCACACCACTATACTCCAGCATGGGCAACGAAGCGAGACTCTGTCTCAGAAAAATAAAAAAAATAAAACATGTCCATGTCTTTAAGAAAAACATGAAATAACAAGATATTTTTCTACCACATCCACTGACAAATATTATAGTTTGATGTTAACTGAAATGGCAAATATGTAGAAGGGGCACACCATACCGCTGAAACACATGTATAAAAAAAGTATTTATATGTTTTTCCTAGTACACAAGCTTTCTAAGCAGACAGAAACAAGTAAGAGTTATACAAGACCCATCGACCAAAAATTAGCTGGACCTGGTGGCATGCACCTTTGGTTCCAGCAACTCAGGAGGGTGAGGCAGGAGGATCACTTGAACCCAGGAGTACGAGTCGGAGGCTGCAGATACCAACCTAATGACCAACGATGGCACCACTACTCTCCTGCCTGGATGTCAGAGTCTCCCAAAAACAAACAAAAAAAAAATCTGTTGGCCGGGTGCGGTGGCTCACACCTGTAATCCCAGAACTTTGGGAGGCTGAGGCGGGCAGATCACTTGAGGTCAGGAGTTTGAGACCAGCCTGGCCAACATGATGAAACCTCGTCTCCAGTAAAAATACAAAAAAATTAGCCAGGTGTGGTGGCACACGCCTGTAATCCCAGCTACTCAGGAGGGTGAGGCAGGAAAAATAGCTTGAACCTGGGAGGCAGAGGTTGCAGTGAGCCAACATCGCGCCACTGCACTCCAGGCCTGGGCACAGAGTGAAACTCTGTCTCCAAAAAAAAAAAAAAAAACTATTAGTTATACTTTGGAGATAAGAAAGTAAGTGCAGAAGGAAAACAGAAAGTTTTGCTTTTTACTTTTTATTTTCTAAATTTTCATATTTAAAAATATCTTACTGTGTACACACAATTTTAAAATAAAAAATTTTAAATACATAATTTGTAAAAGTTATACTGCTTTTGGCCTTCCATATGGGGCGGAAATAGAAAAGTAGCAAGCTTAGATAACTTTAAATGGAAAGTAAAAAAAAAATTTTTTTACTATGCAATGTTTATGCAAACTATTACCAGACTATTGACAGAGACAGTAAACACATTACCAGTGTTGGTATCTACAGACATCAATCCAAAAACAAATATGCCCACAGGCAAATCAGGAAAAATATGTAAATGTTTCATAAACATATTAAAACACTTCCAGCCAGGCGCGGTGGCTCACGCCTGTAATCCCAGCACTTTGGGAGGCCGAGGCAGGCGGATCACGAGGTCAGGAGATGGAGATCATTCTGGCTAACATGGTGAAACCCCGTCTCTATGCAAACATTGCATTAAAAAAAGGAAAGAATTCCTGCACATAGAAAATAGTTAAGAAAATATACTAGCGATTTAAAACTATCTCCAACTAATCTGAATTCATTTTGAACGAAAGCTTTTTCCTCCAGTAATGCATTAAAACATAATTAGGACAAAGCATAAAAGTAATATAAACTCAAATTTAAGCACAGTACTGCACAGAATATTCTTATTGCTAGAACATTCAAAAACTGCCCCTATTTTTGATAAACTGTTGAATTTGGATAGATTTATAATAAAAGTCCATTATCATATCTTAATATTAATGGAAATTTGAAGTTATCTTCAATTCCAATTATTCACTGGATAATGCCAGTGAATTATCAACTACGACAAGCACTACAAATGTTCAATCAAAAGGCAGATTATCATTTCTCAGGAATATCTATCTACCTGTATACTCTGTGAGGTAACCTGTAAGTGACCAATTCTATAAATATTCATTGTCTTGACTCTCTAATTAAATTTCCTAAGAAGAGAAACTTAATCCTTTGCTACACTATATGGATTTAACTACTGATGAGGATGTGATGTCGAAACACATCTCTTCCTAAATAAGTCATTTACCCCAATAATTCATACTGGGACATTTAAAAACTTCTATAACTATTGGCACATTGAAATTTCAATCATTGGCTAGTCACAGCAGGAAAAAAAGAAAATTTTAAATATAAACACACACACTTGTGCACATGAACACACAAAAAGACACCATAAACAAAGTTTATCCCAAAAAGTGAGGAGGGGAAAGAAATTCTTCACAACATACAGACCATTAACTTATTTTAACATAGTTATTATAAACCATTAAGAAATAAATATTCCAACATATGTTGGAATACGGTCACAAGGAACTATCTATAAACATCTCAATTCAGCAATAATCATCCTTTTTAATCTCTGCAACACACTGTAAAGGACTTCTAACCTCAAAATTGGTATGAAGCTTGAGTAAGTATTTTCATATGGACGTATGTCATATAAATCTTTTCTGGAGGGCAATTTGCCTTCAAAGAAGCCATCATCTGTAAATTCTAACACATACATTCTAGGAATTCTTTCCTAAGGAAATAGCCAGTAATGGGCAAAGGTGTAGTGTTAAGTAGAGATACTACAACCTTGTTTATATTGTAGAAAATTTTGAAGAGGAAGATATAGGTATAATTAATTATAGTAGAACAGGAAAATGGGATAATAAGCAGTTATTAAAAACCACTGATTTAAATCTACATGTAGTAAAAGGAAAATAATCTTCTGGTAACTGTTTAAAAGACTATCTTAAGGAATAATTTTATTTTTACAATCTTTTTCTTCATAAAATATAGAGAAAACACACATGTTTACACAAAGACAGAAAAGAGTCTGGACTGTCATATAACACAACACAATCATTCCACATACACTGCTAGGAAGTACAATTTTAAGAGGAAGTGATATTTTTACTTTTCAGTTCTCTCCTGCTTCACATTTTTCTCATGAACATGTATAAACTTTAATATCAGAAAAAATGATAAAGACTTCGAATAAAATTGCTACACCACAACTGAGAAGCTTTTCAGGCTCATGTGACTAGATTACCTTTGAAAGATAATGTTTCTGTAAATTAAAGATAGGTAGGATGGGGTAGGGATTACAGAAAGCAATAAAAATAGATGAGACAGCAGTCATGCAAGGATGTAAATTATAAAAGGATTATTGGCAAGCATTCCATAAAAACCATTCCATAAAAACCACAAATTTCTGTTTTGTGCTTGACAAAATTCTCCGTTACCATTGGGGTAAAATGAGCATACTATCTGAAAAGGACAAAACTTAGGTAAGCACTTGAGTTCTGTCATAAAACTCAAGAGAAGAAAAAACAAAGGAGTCATTTAAATGTAGGAGGACCTTCATTTTTCAAATCTCCACTACAAAGGATTAGACAGGTGATCTCCAGAGTTCCTTTTATACTCTATTGAGCCTATGGTTAAGCAGAATAAGAAAACATAGAAAACCTGGTGCAGCATATGCAATACATTCTGCTCTCTTTCTTTAGCAATAATATCTTCAGCAGTTTCAGAAAGACTAGTGATGTCAAACCAAGACTCAAAGCTGGAAGAGAAAAATGTTTAAGTTAACCACATAAATTCAGTTATGTCAACATGATACATGACTATTTACAGTAATAATCTGTGATACTGAAACATAGTATTGTTGCACCAAATCCTTAGGTGCAATTTTTAAAAATTATAATGGAAAAGAACACATTCAAACAACAAAGATAAATTGATTGGATTTCTGAACCATCAAGAACTGTGAGCCTAAAGGGAACACTTTTCTGATTTATAAATAGATTAACAACCGTACAGTAGTATAAAAACCAAATAAGATTAAGGTATATATTTATAATTTTACTTTACAAAAGTGAGAACTATCTCTGAAAACCAAAGTCACATGATTTTCTCCACCAGTCTTAAGTATGGCCCACTACAATATTTTAAAATTCAACATATACATAACTTGACAATATTATACACGCTTATTCCTTCCCACTGTTAAATATATATATATATCACAATGAGCAATTAAGTATGAGCATGCAGATTAATAATATATAATAGGTAACATTACATCCAACTGTGGAAAATGCTAGTAACATTTATGCAGTAGACTAGAAGTTCCCAAACTTGGATCACCAGAAGGATGTTCAAAAAACTCAGATTCTCAACTCCTACCTTGACACTGTAATTCAGTATGTCTGCATAGTACCTGGAATTCTTGTCTTTCAATAATAGCGCCCAGAGTCACAATAAGGTAGCCTACCTTGAGACACCATTCAGTAACCAGATTTGAAATAAATTCCCAAAATTTAAAATTATATTTCCACATCCAATTAGCTTACTTCCTTCACTGATGCCAAAACAAGTATAAATTACCTTTTTTGCCCAGGTTGTATTTCCGTTGTAATCAGTTTTAGATTATGTTAACATTACCTCCTCCTCCATTCTGAAGTTACTAATTACTTTCTGAAAACTACTTTTATTTCTGATTTTATTATATAAGCTAAGATTCAAACATAGTTTCGAGAATTAAAACACTATGTTTACATTGGGAGACCTCAGTTTTAACTTTGGCTCTGGTGCTAACTAGTCTTACCTTGTAACAACTCTACACCTAGGTTTTCTTTTATATGAGATAGGGAATAATTTAACAACTCTATTGTCCCTGGTTGTTTCATGAGGATATAATGAGAAAAATCCATCTTAAAATGTTTTACAGAGGTAACACATAAAAGAACCTTATTATAAAAATATTATCTTAAAGTAGCATTCAGCAGTCTTCCTTTAACCAACGCAAGTAAGTTTTAAATAATCTTTTCTTAATCTGCTCTCACATAATTTGTGACAGGAGTAGAACATACAATATACACCAAAAAGAACTTGCCAAATATTTGGCATTTTAATTCAGTTACTGAAAAGAAAGTAATTTTAACTAACAGCACAGATTTTTGAGGTTAAATCATTAAATAACTGGCTTACCCACCTTTTCAAGTCATCAAATACATCTGGCAACAAAAAGTTTAGCAATGACCAAAGTTCTGATAAATTGTTTTGCAAGGGAGTACCAGTCAAAAGAAGTTTGTTATCAGCATTGAATCGTTTTAACTCCCTGATTAGACGGCACTTCATATTCTTAATCCTGTGTCCTTCATCTACTATTAAGTATTTCCAATAGCAATGCTAGAAAATGAATTGAGGAAAAAGATATTTAAACAATGATCTCACAATTTTTCTAACAAGAATTCTAAAAATAAAACATCTATTATGAGGGATGGATGTTGAATTTTATCAAATGTAATTTCAGTAACTACTGAGATGATCATGTTTTCATTTGCTCCACTTACAAGGATTCCTAAAATTGATAGATATTTCAGTTCCTGGAAGAGTTATCTACTAAAATACGCAATAAAGCTTGAACTCCACCTATTCTGAATTTAAGATTTCCCTATTCAGACCTTAGTCAACGCAGTTGTAGCTTTCTTTTCTAATGTTTTCCCAAGTTTTGATATTAATGTTATGCTAGACTACTAAAAATTGAGTTTTTATTAGTTCCATACGCA